TCAAAAAAAAAAAAAAAAAAAAAAAAAAAGGAAGATTTTGCTTGTCTACTGTTGCTTTCCACAGCGATCTCGTCAGCAATTCCAACTCGTCTGAAGATAATTACTGCTCCTGTACCGATCATGCACCTGGCTGCCTACCTGTCCAGGTACCTGTCTTTCGACTGACACCCAGGAGGTAAGTTTAAGGCAACTTGCGGTCAAAATCATACTGCTTTTCTGCATGTCTGCTTAAAACACGTCCAGATTCAGGATATTTATCCAATCCCCCTTTGCTAGTGGGACCTCGCGACCCCTGAATCTGCAGTTCTTTGACATTGTATTTTTGCCTTGGGCACTGGGCCCTAACACAACGAAGGAAAACATATTGCAAAAAAAATAAAACAACGAATGAAAACATATTGCAAAAAAAATAAAACAACGAAGGATAACATATTGCAAAAAAAAAAAAAAAAAAAAAAAAAAGGTCAAAATCATTATAAAAAAAAAAAAAAAACAAAACGATTTAACCCTCGCACCTGAAGGCGGGCTCGTTATGCTTCCACTTCCTGGTCCTTCCATCATCGCTGAGTCCCTTCCTCCTCCTCCTCCTCCTCCTCCTCCTCCTCCTCTCCCTGCTCCTCTCTCTCCCACCTGATCCCACACAGCCATAGCTACGTTGTCTGCAGATCTCGGAGCAGACTTCGACGAGCTAACGGCAGACAGGATTTGCTGTCCAACACCTATCGAGGAGGAGGAGGAGGAGGAAGAAGAAGAAGAAGAAGACGGAGAAGAAAGCTTGGCCGCCATAGCTGCGGATCTCCGAGCTTCTTCTGACGACGTCGACCGGCATGCACATGGAGTTGGATTGACATACGTCGTGCTTACCTCCTCCCCTCCTCCTCCTCCCACATCTCTCTTTCTCTCTGGATCTCCCAAATGGAGCGCCCTCTCTTGGGCTCCCTCACGCCCAATTTCAGCAACGAGGGTCCTCTTCTCGATCGGGACGTCACGTGGGATCCCGACGTCAACCGAGAATCTGACGGCTCTTGAGGAGGCCACGTGGCATCCCGACGCCTCCTTGTCCGGACGTGCGGCCATTGACAAGGATAGACAAATGGGAGAAGATGGAGCAGGTCGAGAGAATTGGGAGAGGGAGGGAGATGCACACTACCACCAGACATGCAGCAACTCACTTCAGAGGACAAGGAAAAGGAGTCCCTCCCCTCTCCCAATTCTCCCTTTCTCACTCCCCAGCCCCCTTTTAAGCTAAAGCCTGATATCACCACTCCCTCCTCCTCCTCCTCCTCCTCCTCCCTCAACAACCAACTTCCACTCCTCTTTCTTCTAACTCCCTCTTCGATCTCCCAAACCCCCTCCCCAACTCCGTTCTCCCAAACTCCCTCTTTCTCTTCTCTCACACCTTAAAACCCGCTACTACTTCTCTTTCCCTCAGAGTCCTCACCAATTGCTTACTATACCACCACTATCCCCCACACGCTCTTCCAGACTTCCAAGACCTCTCTCTCTCTCTCTCTCTCTCTCTCTCTCTCTCTCTCTCTCTCTCTCTCTCTCTCACA